TTTCATTTTTTTCTTTAATGCTAATCGTAGGAATCTACTTTCAAATCTAACGGCTACTTTTGGAGAAGCGGATGTTTAATCGAATTTTAGAAGTTACGTTAGCAGTTCTGTGCGATTTCGTGCGTTGAAGTTCAGTAATAACGCAAACAAGTGATCCCCCGTTTAAACGGACTTAATTTGTCTTTTTGTCCGTTAGGAAAATTCTAATTGATACCGCAGGAATGGCCATCGCCGAATAGTCATTTTCAGTTTCGGACACGTAAAGCATTACTTTTTGTGCAGTCGAGCTTCTGCAAACACAGAATTCGGAAACATCACGAATGACTTACTACAAGTTTTAGCAAAATAACAGTGTTTATTGAACCACTATGCCGCGCATTCATAATCATAGAACGGAGTCTAAATTTATGCAAAACTTTATAAATTTATAAGCTTGATTTGGCACGTCTACAATTGCATCTGTCAATTGTATTTAACATTAATTGGCACCGATCGGACAGAGAGAATGTGGCCTTATATGACGCTTGGTTTGGTGATATTAGGGCAAATCGTGTTTCTCTTATTGAACCATAGCTTGAGCAATTAAAACGCGTAGAGTACAATGCAAATTCTCGGAAAACTGTTTTCTAATCCATACTCAGCATGACGGCTATTGGCAAACCGCCATACACTAATTCTTAAAGGACATTCAACTGTAAATCCCACTAATACATTATTCAAAACTGTCCTTTTATTTGCGTTTTCATATTTACTCACAATGTTGCATGAAAAGACATTCTGTACATCCATAAACAAAGATAACTAAATTCTAACAATTTTTGGCGTCTTTGGGTTTTTGCACCTTTCCACAAATTAGAATTTCTAAACAACGTAATATTGCTTTTTATCTTCCACTGACATCTTAAATTATTTTAAAGAGGTGCTTGAAAAACATAAATACTAAGTGCACACATTAGTGTCAGGTTGCGAATGTTTGCCAATTATTTGTAAACGTCGATTCCTTCCATGCGTAAGGTTAGGGTTTGTTTGGAATCGTCGAAAACATACGAGGCCCAGTAAACTGTACATAAAAACTGCTGCGTGCGTCCTTCATTATAAGAAACATGCTTTTTCACTAGTCCAACTAATTCCTATGGAAATCCTACGTTACATTACTTTACGCATGAGGATGTTCAATCGGAAAACATAAAATACATGTCTCACGGTTAATAACTTCCCAGCATTCATTGGGCGCGATACAATGCGCGCCTGCTTCCGACTCGGAAATAGGTACATCGTCAACTCTCACGTACTGCAAAGAAAGCATTAAATTTAGCTTCGTAAGTAGGACAAATCATTGCATTAAACAGTAAACGTTGAATAATTTTACATCTCCGTAGGTCGTCTTCTTGAACACTTAACTGCTGTTTTCTTTGACTTCCAATGTGCTATCGATCACTGCAATAGGATAAGGAGGGATTTCATTTTGTAATTGAGTGAATTGCTCCCCTACTAATTTTGGTCTTTCATTTCATCCAGCATAAGACGGTGAGAATTTTTGAACATTTATGGTTTAGATAACCCAAATTGTAAGCACATTCTACCATTTCTCGAAACGCAGTTTCCGGGCGTCAACCCACAATGAATTAGCAAGTGCAGTGAATTCCCGCTTCCATATTCTGTGCTGTGATTTTGTCTGTGTGTGGATGAAAAACAGTCACGGTAACAGCGAGCCAATCTGACGAGAAATCGTAATGCTAATGCTCAGCAAGGTTGATGAACTCACGATAACTGTCGGCCTGTATATGGGCCGACGAGCTATCTCCGCATCATCTAAGACGCCCAGAGATGAAGTCTTGTAATGCCAACTATGCTAGGCGCATGTTTCCGTGGCAACCGGGTCGTTTGGATACTACGTACTTTGTGCTCCTATATCCCCTTTTCTTTGACTGCCTCTCATGGTGGGTTCTAGTGACAATCCGAAAGGTCCGGCCAATGTACATCCTGCTTCAGGGATTGCATCTTCCTTATTTACATCGATCGTATCTCCAGTTGCCACGTGGAAACCTGCGCACAAGTAGGGTGGATCGTCTCGGCCTCGTGTGCGTTTTTTGAATCCTGTAGATTGGGTGATGTAAATCTCATGGGCTATGCTATTGGCCTCCCAATATAACTTCTTGTTGCAACAATGCTTAGTGTTGTTATCGGTAGTGATGTTATGTAGGTTCAAAACGCCCTAGTTCATGCACAAGGGGCGGTATTGATTGTAGGACCCAGTCGACATGCAACCGCCTGCCTCGGAAAATTAACGACTTCCTTCATCGTCGCAGATTGTTGCCACTCGTACGATTAGTGCGCTGCCTTTGACTCATTACTGGCCATCTCAGCATTACATATGGAAGGAAGCGGTCGTTGTGCTTGTTAATGGCCTGAAGGTTAGTAGATTATGACTGGATTAGTTCATAGAAGATGCGATTATCGCCCATCGCAAGCAGATCGAATGAGACGACAATTTAGACCTGCCGTTATTCCACCGCCCTTTAATCGCGTACTGTGCTTTTCCTTGGCCTATTGCAAAAAATAAAATGTATACCTAGGCATCCAGTGAAAGTAAATATGCACCATACAATTTACTCATTGAGTTTCGATGCCCTTTAAAATTTAATTATATTTCATAGGAAACATACATAAAATTATTCATTCTTTTAATTATTCGGTAGAAAATCAAGTCTTCTTCCAATGTCATACTCAAAAAGTATAATTCGGTTTTCCAGAAGTTTCTAATTGTGCGATATTTTAATACCGATAAAAGGCCGTTCATGAAACGTCATGTATCTGCATTTACGAATGTGGCTTGTAAAGTTAACAATATTGCTCAAATCCACTGCTTAATTTTATGAACCTCATATGGTCTGCTTTTAACACCGTAGAGAAATGCATACAATATTGTTAACTTTACAAGCCACATTCCTCAATGCAGATATATGACGTTTCATGAACGGCCGTTTAACGGTATTAAAAAATCTCAAAATTAGAAACTTTTTAAAAATAAAATTGGAAGAAGACATTATTTTCTACCGCAAAAGTAAAACAATGAATATTTTTATGTATATTTCACCTGAAATATAATTGAATTTTCAAGGCCATCGAAAATCAATGCGAAAATTGCGTACTGCATAAATAGTCATTTGTTGCAGAGTATACATTTCGCATACAGCCGAAAATAAGTACTTTCGCAAGCCGACACTCTGAGGTGACTGGATTATTATAGATTTATGCTGCACCATGATTAGTTTTACAACCCAACTTCAAGCATCAAGCTAATAAAATTGACATGCGATATGTAAAACTTTTTGGCATATAGTTTTGACGGTAGTCATGTAGTGGCCTTAACGAAGTTGTTTTAAAATAGTCCAAATCTCCATGTCAATATGCAATGTGCCGACATCCGATGGCTGTATACACTTACCGGACAAGCAAAGACAAGCAGTAGCACCAAGAGTTTATTCTGCCGGAAATCTCTGACAAGTTCGCGTTTAGCAGCTCCTTTAATTTATGCAACCACTGCTACAGGGAGCCTCCAGAAGAAGAGACAAGCGACGTTGACTCGTACTACCGCCGACTGTATTTCAATTTCATTCCTTGCTCGCAACTGAACGAAATCATTTAGGCCCGCAGCTTATGAGAGCCATTTATTATTAAGCAACAAAGTATGCCGCCTAATGCACACTTACTGCGTGTAGGAAGAAATAATTCCACATTCCACAACACATAGCAATACAAATCGCAGGAAAAACCTCCTTTCCAATGGAGAATCGTAAATTGTGCCGCGCACAGTACTTGTAAGTTGCAATTACCAAAAAAATCGACAAATCGGATGCCTTTTATGTTCTAACACACCAGGATTTTAACATTACAATCCAGGTGGATAATTGTTTCGAAATTTGCAGAACGACCCAGATTTGGAATGATCATGCTATATGTCAGTAAGTGAAATGGCCATGAAGGACCCGGAAGCTCATTTGCAAACCATTAAGGTTGACGATTGCAACGGCCATTGTGCCTCTTTTTGTTTTAGGACGGTTGATTGGTCTGGGGCTGTTTCGTACGTATTACGCTTTTATCACAGTCGAATGCTCATCTGCTTTTCATTTAGCTTCTTATTGGTAGCCTCCGTGTATTAAGGCTATTTTAGAAGCCGTCAGCCGCCTTCTCATCTCACTTGAGTTTGGAGTTGTATTCAAATCAGAAGGAACCATCTGGTGTCAAATACTGAGGCTAGGAAATCCACTGTCATGGCAAGATACGCCTGGGGTTAATAAAACAACCTGGTATGATTACAGAAAAGTCTTGTGTGTCGGGAAAAACGCAAAAGGCTGGAAATACGGCAGCAGTGCTATTAATTAGAGGAGATGGGGGAATACAACTCAGATTCGACGAGGTTGTAGTTCTCACTGGAGGTGACAATCGCGTGGTTCGCGAGCTTCTTGGGGGACTAATTAACCACGCGAGTCTCCGGCTTTCTGACCTGAGAAGTGCTTTCCCACGAAGTTGTGTCTGTCGACCACCTTAAGTGTCGGCACACACAAAAGGGTACACACATCTACGCCCTGTGACTTTAAACGTGTGCGCACATCGACAGAAAACACGCTGTAGTATCCTAACACAACCAGGCGCACTCCTTGCTGACTTAGATAGCGCGCATTTCTCAGTAAGAGAGCAGCGAAGTTTCTGAACAAAAGAAAGCACTTCCATCTGCCGACTTTAATGCCTCCCTGTTAAACGACCTCGCCTCTCTCTAGGGTAGTGTGTATTCAGATAACCATTCGTGTCCGTGTTCCATTTAAGGTGGGCATGAACATGATTTACGTATCTAAAATACCTTAGGGGCACATTTGTCAAACAAGGCAGAATACTCGAAGTCAAAAGCAGACACCATGTATTTGAAATTACATACTACCAAGAACCACACTTTGACCTTAAACCACGACCAAAATTGCATGCACCACCTGAGGGCTCTTCTACTTCAACCTGAAGGCGTTGACATAGTCGATGAACGTCAGCATTGGCACCGTCGCCTCGGCTTTATTGGAGGGAGTAATTGTAATCTGGTCCTCTCTGCCGGTCGTAAACTTAATTTTCAGTAGTCGAGGCTTCGTCTCCAAATGCCCAGTAAAGAGTACAACTGGAATGGTGCGCACTGCTGAACGGAAAATAGATACGGTTAAGATATCCTGTAAAAACTAGCACAATGATATAAACTAACACCAACCTGTGTTCCCAAACGGAGATATCATACGGAAATGTTGTTTCTCTGGCGACATATTTTCCAAGAAGCTTACATTCTGAAAAGTAATCAACAGAGTGGTTTTGTAAAAGCGCCTTTTCCATATATGCAATGTTTTTGGCAAAGACGGAGGCATGTAGACTAGATGTGGATTACATCAGCTAAGCACTAAGCGAAATTTGCAGAGGGTCCTTGTTTGAGAACGCCGCGGCTTGCACGTATGGTCCATGTTAATTTATGTGGGGGCACATGTGCTACCGCCTCGTCGACAAATTAATGTCGAATTTAAGTAAACTGATGCCCTTTTCATTGTTTAATCTCGACCGATGTCTGAACTATGAGGCTGTTATCATGAGCGATAAAATAATGAAACGCAGAATGGCAATTACCGCTCGTGTCTTATTCAACACATTTGACAACTTTATGCGGGATATGCTAAAAATGCAAGCAACCGCCAATACATTTCACATCAAAACATTAGGTCTAAGTAATAATGACAATCGAAAGCATCCTTCTTGCAATGCATGTATGCTGATATTTTTTCAATATTATAATATTTACCCGAATGCCCCCACTAAAGAGCAGAATGTGAACAATTTTTTCTTTTTCGAGGACTTCTTTTGTAAAGACGGAAACTGATTCAGTACTGGACACCAAATCTAGAAGAGAAGATACAACATGTAGTTTAGGTAAGCAATAAGTCAGAAAGCCCATTAAATCTCAGAAAGAACACTTCTTTTTATCCAAAGACAAGAAATATGATTTCTTGGTATGTGATTTAAACTGAAATAGCATTATGCACGCTGCTCGTCGAAGCGGGTTTTCCGTCAACTGGGCAGCCTGCATAGTTTTAGAACTCAAATGAATGCACGGACTACATAGCCACTGGAAATAGGAAAGTGAATTGCGTATTATCAGGCAGCTTAAGAAGAATAATTGTCTTGACTTACTAGGTTGCGTGCCCTTTTTATAATACTGAATTACAACTCTGCTTCTTTTGGGGAAATCCTTTGGCTCAACCGTGAATGCAACATGCGTTCCCTTCAGGTAGTCGTTGGCAATTACGTATATATCGGCTTGCAAAGAAAAAAAATGATTGCAATTTGTGAAGGTCTGCATGTACATTTATGATGAATGGGTGTTCACCGATCACATTACTGTGTCTACTGTCGCGCTGAGATTAGAGTTTTACGCGGAGAGTGAATACTCATGAATTCTGACTTAGTGGACTTCGCCTGTCAGCATTGACCAATCCCAGATTTGGAGACACTTGAAATCCGAACACAAGCTCTTTTGAGTACAGCTCCAATGGTCGAACCCGGGCTCATAAATTACATCCCATGATATATACTCTGTTTCCACATGAAGCCTTTGATAAAAGCGCTCTTCTTCATAGTTTCAAAAATGGCTCTGCAAGTCATCATCGGAAGTAGATCAAAGGAGCAACTTGGTCCGTATTTTAAGCAGGCTCTCATAGCTATTTCATATATAAAGGATCCTCGAGCACAATTATTCCGATTAATTTGCGTTACTTTGCAATTCCAGCGAGGTTTTAGAGCATATTCAAATCAATCACATTCACCTGACGGCCAAATCCAAATTTCCCGACACGAATTTTTTCGAAAAGTTACAAAACCACGATTTTTAATAACCGGATAATAAGGAAGCTTATTGGTGGGATTGACTTATGTAGCCACGTAAGCAGAAAGTGTGAATAGATGCACCCTGGCGAAGTAATAAATGCAGGACTGCGCGTTATTTCGCAAAAGACCAAATATTCCGTTGTCCTCAATCTAATGATAAACTAAACAGCACTAACTCCAGCCTAAACCCAAAATCCACACTTAAGACCGGCAACTGTCTTAGCTCTAGTCCTTATCAAGACTTACTTTTCTGTTAACTCTACATTTGCACTTAAACATTCACCCTAACACAACCCCAACTCACTAATTTAGTCTAACGCTAAATTTATTGGACGTTGGCCAAAAGCCACCCGTATTGCAGGCTGTTCCTTCGCCCGTGTGCTGTTCAGGGCGGGGGGGCATACGTGTCAGTACTGCTGGTCCGTTTAAGTGAAGGTTTGACTCTGTTAAATGCGTCCTTCGGTCTGTCAGGCATGCTGTTTCGTCTATTAAAATGGGGCGAGCGGACGCATTTATGACATGCTTGGTTGAATAACACGGAAACCACAGCTTACGTTGAACAATTTGCCAGCAGTCATTGGGTGCAACACAGTTTGAACCATTTTCCGGCCTCGAAATATTCACGTCATCCACAGTCACATACTGCAAAGGAAGACGGTTAATTCAGACATAACAGTGTTTCATGAAATCATCCAGTTAACGCTTATTACCTCAACGTCCCCATAGAGCATTTTTGTGTAGACGTAGTCGCTGTCCTGTTTGAATTCCAGTTTGCTTTCTATCACTAAGATAGTAAATTCACTGGTAAGCCGACATAAATGAGGAATTTGCAATTCCGTTCCACATAAACAAACACCATAATCATCATATATATATAAATTTTAAAATATAATTGCAAGTCGTTATATGCCCATGCTACATGGCTTAAAATATGTTTACCTTTACCAAACACGCCCTGGACAATGATCAGGAGTAATAGTTTGCGAAACATTTGCAAGCGACCACGCTTGCACGAAGTTCTACTCTTCTACTTTTATACACCCCAACAGCCAATAATCGCGCACAAATGAAACCCGCTTTGCATTCAGTAAAACAAGCTCTGATTTAGAAGAGCAGTTAGTGCCTTGATTCACACTATAACCACGTTGTCAATTTGGGATATTACAGAGGTGGATAAGAGCCAAATCTGTCTACGCCGCGCAATTAGTCCTCGACATGTTTTACAGGAAGGTATATTGTTTGCACGAAAATGCATGTTTCGCGTTTACCAATAATAGCTGAATGGAAACACGAGAACGACAGATTTATGAACCGACTGAACTTTATGCGAATTATATTTTCTAATTAAGGGCATCCCTAATGTTGCTAATAATTTGCTGATTGCAGAGGAACAAAAGCTGTTGGGCTTATTGATATTGGGCATATGTGTAAACATTTCGAATACTGTGATAAAAAGACTTTAACAATTGCATCGGAGCTTCTCACTAGCTGCATTGCAGTTGTGCTGAAGAGATCAGCCTAGAGTCGCGCAATCTGCATTGCTCTGCACAAGTTACAGTCCAAACTATGACTGCAAAACCTGTACATCTGGTCGTGTAAAAAGAAGTCTCAGCCACTACACCCAGGCTCAATTCCAGTCGCATTCTCGCCGCGCGAGTAGATGCCTGCTTTACTATCGTGAACTTCAAGCGCGAGTTGCAGTTGCATTCTACCCATCACATGTCTACACCTAAGCGCTCGTGATGACCAAGCAATCGCCCTCGGGCGTCTATTATTCATGAAAACCTATTTAGCAGATCAGGTAAGAGTAGAAGACACTTTCCTGATGCATGCATTTTTTGCCTCTTAAGATGGTTCAGTAGCCTCGCAAATATGCTTTTTGTTGATGAGACGGGTGTGTGTTTTGCGCACGACACCTAGCGCATGCAGTCTGCATAACGCATTCACCAACAATCGCGCTCCTTCAAGAGTACCTTGAACTTTGTATTCTCTATTAGTGATTGTAGACTAAACATAGCAGATAGTAAATTCGTACCTCCGCAGTTTGTTTTAGACTAAAGTAGGCACTGTCTCCTCGCTATTGAACGCATTCTTCAATTGTAGTATTTGTGAATGCAACCCATCTCAAACGACGCGCATGTCTTTCAATATGTTCACATGTTTTCAACATCTTCGCATAAACTGCTAGGCATAGAGCCACCTGCAAACCTGTTGCCTGATGGCAACGGAAGCGTTGCGAACGTGCTGTTATGCCAATTTAATCTAATGTGCCACAGTCTTCCTAGCATACACCTTAAATAATAATGGACAGTAGAATTAATGTGGATGAACACGAGATGGTTATCTGTTTTGCACTAAGCTAAGGTTTTGTTGTCTGTATGATACATACTCAAGGCCATAGACTGCAGACCCATTTTATGAAAAAATAATTTTATGTATTAATTTAACTCTTGCTATGAAAGTCTCAGTTATTTACAAAGAAACTGCATTAAGTCCTATAAACTTTGGACGTCTAAATCAAGTGAACGCAGGACATGTTTGTCGTACTTGAATTCACTTGCAGAATCATGCACTATATCGAACCTGCTTAACAGAATGGGTAAACAGACCATAAAACATAAGCAATTAAGCTATCATGGAGCGAAATGAAAGACGGAAGTGACAGAAGGTGGAATAAGTCATATCGGTTGATTCTGGAATAATTCGTGTTATGTGCAACCACTGAAGAATGCAGACGCTGCAACATTTCTGGAGATAGAGGAGATGGTGAATGAATTTGAGGCGACTTAACATCTAGGTATATCGTTATGTGCAATACGATCAAAAGACGACGGCCACAAGAAGAACAACTCAAATTCTGGAGAGCTATTTCTTAGTTAACGGAGTACACGAGGCGGTTTCACGACTGTCACAACCCGTCAGGCTAGGCATTGCACATCGACGCCAGGCAACCATTCGTCGCCGGTTGATGCAAACAAAAGACCTACTACCACCCACTGAAACCTACTTCGGGAAAGCCGGACGGAAATTGCAAACCCGCCTACATGATCACAAACTGGCAACTCGGAGACTAGACCCAAACTGACAGCTTGCGGCTCACATCGGGGAAACTGGTGACAGTTTTGATTTTCAAGGAGCAGCCGCCTTAGGCAAGGGTACCTCAAGGACAGAGCGTCTCACACTTGAGGCTTGGTACTCTGATGTCAACTCCATCAACAGGCATCTAGACCTTCCTTCGGCCTTTAAAGGCTTGCGTCATCACACGAGCCGTGACAAAGACACGACAGTCATACGGAGCATAAGACTACCGAGCAAACACCGCCTGTCGACCAACTCACCCAAACGTCAGCCATGCAAGTCCCTCGATCCGGTGAGCAATTCATTCTCCTCAGATTATCAACCCGGATCTCTTACTTACGCTAACCTGAGTTGTACCTTATTGCGTGTCAGTCGACGTCTGCTTGGTTACATAGACTTGAAGAATGAAAGCCCTGACTAATGTAGGACCAGGCGCCTCTTTTTGGGCATTCGCCTGTCCAGACAGCTGTTTGTTTCTGATTCCAATGCTCAGAGAGACACTCAAAATTACTGCGTCAGCCAGTACTTCATATGAGATAGGCAAGGGCCATACGGTAAGCCGCCTAACCTTGGACTCGCACATAGTGCATAAACGGCCCTAACGCTCCACGGGCTAGGGGTGAACCCGGCAGATGTGCTCACACCCACTGCCACAACGCGTTATAGCGACGAAACGGCGATATAGATAAACTCCAAACAACTAACCCATCCCACCCTCTCCTCTCCCCTCCCGAAGGCTTCAGACATAACTGAGCTATAATTTAGGCACTCTGAACGCCCTCATGTCTCTCCACCGCACATAAAGAATGAATATGAATTTGCGTGTTTTCCATGAAATAGAATTGAATGTCTAAGAGCATCGAAATTCAATGGGCCAAATTGATGCTAATTATGTAGGCCTTTTGCTCAGAGTATGGCTTTGTATGCGGCTGGAAAAAAAGCCACTTCGACAGCCGGAATACTGAGGTAACTGAATTGCTATATAACTTGCTGGAGGCTACCTAGTTTTACAAGCCTGCTTAATTAATCCTTTCAAAAAGAAAAGACATTTCGGATTTTCTTTTGACATTTCATGAGTTAGCCCACCTACAACTTATCCCACAACTCTTTCCTAACCCATCGATTCTGAAGATAGTAAACACATGTTGTCAATTCTAAATTAAGTGTAATAGCATTTCTTAGGCTTTGCAGATTCCCACCAATCCTGTTGACCAGAAACTGTAAACAGATCCAGGAAAACTCGGTTAATCACCGTGTTTTCTCAAATCCATTTAACTTTTATAGGTTTATTCGAAAACAGTTCGAATAAAAGCCATTTGCAAAAATCACATTAGAGCCTCTGCCCGCTTGTGCAGTAAAGATGGTCATTTCATCCAAAAATCGTTGCCAGCCCATTTCAGTCGATACCTAAAAACAATCGAGATCCATCATTTGATGAGGTCGGTGCAAGCACCTTTATCATCCTCACAGTAGGTTTTATCTGTAAGAAGCCTTTGTTACATGCACTTGTGCGTCGCAAGACGTAATAGGATGTCACGTACCAACAATGCGCGGCACTCAATATCTTCTGGCGAGCGCGTGGGGCTGTTTAGGTAGGATATCGGTGCCCAGAGTGGACTGATATTCACCCCCCCCCCTTCACCCGTTTTATCAATAAGACGCGGGAATAGGAGCCATTGTCGTCCCATGTGCTAAACCCTGTCCCAACACCAATCCCAACCCAAACCCTAAAACTACATTAACGCTGAAACCTTACCCTAAATCTTTACTACTTACCTTTATCCCTCTAGATAGTACTTAAAGGGGTCAGCGTCACATGTGATGAAACCATGATACCATTAGATGTAATCTCGCTCTCAACCTCGATTATGATAGATCTAACGGTGGGACCGCACAGAATAACTCCTTTAGACCTCCCTTCTCCAGGCAATGTATTGATGATTAAAGGATTCTCCTGGCGGAGGTTGTAATGCAGAAATAAGGCACAATGCCTCTTCTGACAATTTTTTCCTATCTTCGGATACGCATTGTAGATAACCTGTTTGTTAACTTTAAGAAAACAAATTTAATCTGCTCCATATCACCAAATTGTTTTGCGATTGGTGGTTGTAAGAAAACCCCCATATTTTTATGTCATTGCGCGTGGAAAACTGATGAGTTAATTAGAACAACGGTTCATCGCAAAAAGGAATATTTTGAGGTCGTCTAAAATTTTAGGAACAACCACCCCGCCGACAACCGTCTGAATTGAGCCAAAACTTACTGGTCATAGAAAACAAATTGTTGAGCAGAAAAGAAATACCTCTACAAAATATCGTCCTAAAGTAGGTACCCGCATGATTGTATACATCAACGTTTGAGACACCAGAAATTCAAACGAGGTGGTGGTTCTAATGCGAAAGCCGCGACCACACCCGCCCCTCTGAGCTTTGGGATTTTCAGCACCGTGCTACTGCCAAAGAAGTCGTTTTGCTTCGCCGAGACACAGATACGCCTGCCGACCTCTCGTAGCCAATGACAAATTTCCGAGTAAACGACCTCGCAACTATCCCCCTCGAAGCTACTTAATAATCATCCAGCCCGACCGATTTAGCATTTTCAGCAGAATACTACGCTTATTCCGCCACCCGCCCCGCAACACCGCCTTGCATTGTTCTTTTTTCTACAGTCTCGGAAATTGTGTAAAGCCTAAAATGACAGCCGCCATTTAATAATTCCAGTATATTGGACTTCACCGTCTGAAAAGTAGGAAAGTATAACTTGCCCCTAGAAAGTCATAAATCACTCGTCGAACCAGTTGTCATGAAATTTCTCACTAACATGTTTGTCTTTTGCAAAATGACCGGGGCCTAGAAGGCCCGCTATTTGTTGAATAAGATTCCGTTCAACTGACCCCTAAATGTTGACAGTGAATTGCCTTTATCCGGAGCTAGATAAGAAACACACATATATATATATATATATTGATATCAACATTATTGCAAACTCCCAGGCAGCAATCCTCAAGCATCGTTTTATATGATATGGGGCTATGCAAAAGAACTGGAATTTTGACTTGACAACGATTTTGCGTCGGGCATGAGCTTTACGGATATGTTGAGTTATTAATCGTTCTGCTGATGGGTTTAGTGCTCTTCCTATATACGTGGGTCAAGAAATACGTTCTACTTATCGTATTTATCTGTAAACGGTCCAAACATTTCCAAGATTGCCGAAGATACATACATGCTGTCATAAAGCAAAGATTTCATGTTTTTTATCAGTGCTGTATCAATCTACCCGCATTCTCTGTCGTCCCTCCTCGCTGCTATTATGACTTGGTCGACTTCGGCCTGGTAATTGGTTGCCTGTTCGTGACCTTTGCCACACATACGGAGCTTGTTTGCTTTGTGAAGCCAATAGATCGGTGTGCGCCCATTCCTGATTGATAAATACCCGATCTGCAGCGACAGAGAATGACAGGTGGCGAGGCACTGATGAACTTCGGTTCGATGAAGTGCTTATGACCCATCTGGTAGGCCTCAGTGGTGAACCGACTGCGCCAGGTGCGTCTGTGCGCATGTTTGTGTTCCTGGTCCCAGCTGCTGGTGGTCAGGGTTGTGATTGGCTGAATGAAGGCAGAATAAGCCCGAAACAGCGCTGTATCAATCTACCCGCATTCTCTGTCTTCCCTCCTCGCTCAATATTTTCAGTACAAATGGGCTTAATTCAGTGTGATCAGTAAATAGCTTAATAAATTATTCATGAGTGAACAGGACTAATATAAAAGGAACGATTATTAAAGGGACATTTCAAGTCTTAACTTCTGCATTTCTATCTCTTTACGCGTAAGATAGTGTGCCAGGAACGGTAATACAGAATCTCAATATGCAGATGTGCAACCTGAGATAATTCGGAAGCCGCGGCGCGGCGGGAAGGCTTTGCATAAATAAGATCAGAATGCAGGGATTGGACAAGGGCATTTATAATTCGACCAACAAATTGCTTGGCCGATTGGATATGTTGTTGTACGATAATATTCACTAAATACAGATAAGAAAAACCAGCGGCAAAAGAGAGCTTTCGGGGGACTCGTCGAAAAATTGGCACATCTTCTTCAAAAAAGCAGGAAAAGTGACAGGATAGCAGCGTAGGATAAGAGTAAGAATGCAGGCATTGATGAATCGCCAGACTAAGGATTGAGGTGTGTAGTAGGAAAGTAAACAACGAATGTAACGAAGACGTTTGCGGACTTTGGCAAATAGGGACATAATATTTTGGGAAAATGAAAGATCTAAGGACAAAGTAATGTCAAGGTACCTGAAATAGGATACCCCGTTAGGAACCAACCCTTTTCACGCAAACAAATTCCTTTGTCCGTGCTGTGCAGCGTCGAGTTTGTCAAATATTGAAAAGTTCAATAAACCTAGTTACTGAATTACGAAATCTCATACAATTTGATGAGATTGCATTTTCGCGACAAGATGCCTCTTACATGCCCCTAAATAGTATACGTAACCTACTTATCCTTATATTTGGACTGCGGTCAGTTGTGGCTGACTCTAGTCGAATGCGATGTTCGACGAAACCGCCCCTGATAAACGCCTTCACCTTCTGCTTGCCAGTATACATTTTCTACATTCTCTACTTCATTGGCATAAATGGCCTTGCATAGACTTCACAGTCATCTCAAAATCGGCTGTCGTTATGGACATCTGAGAAGAATGATTTTACTGTGACGTTCAAAATCGGATTTTTTTAAATCTGTTCGTAGGTCCCTTATGGGTGGCTTTCATGGGCAGACTTTTAGTTGGCTTCCAGCATCCGGTGACCATGCATCAACCAATAAAGACAACTCCTTTTGCCTTTAGTCTATACATGACAAACGTCGAGCAGTACACTCATAATTTAGTACTCAGTCTGGACGCAATAGTTTATGCGATATGATGATCCAAGCCACTACTACCATCAAGCCCCCTTCCGCATAGGAATAGGAGATTTCGGACGTCAGTTGAGAGGATACTGTATTCTGTACAGTACGATTGGAAAATAATTAGGATTCGGTTGGTAGCTCTACGTCAGTACACATCCAGCACCTCAAGGGCGATAGCTCGAGTGACAGGTGGGGATGCTGTACAGCAACTTGAAAGATGATTGGCCGGTTAAGACATCCGTGACTGGCCGACCAACTAGACTGCCCGGAGTGGAACCAAGGCGGTTTCAAATACGATGATATATTTCTGTCGCCAATGAAGGCTTACTGCATTAACTTGTGTAAAGCGGATGTTTTGGGCTTCCAATGGCCACGATGATTTGCTCACTGGGTTTACATAGGAAACAGGCTAGAGCGTCATTTATTCTCCGTCGTTTGAGACGTTTTGGGATCTCCTATGATGTGATGTGATGTGTCAAATGACTGTTGGCAATTAATTCGCCGTAAGTTTTAAATTCAATGCTTATTCCAGCGTAGTCTGCAAACGTGCTAATATATGACTTTTCAGTTACCTCCGATTTGAAAAAAATATATTCTGACATGTTACCTAAAAATTCTATCCCCGTTGCCATAGATATGAATCGGCACGTCATATGCGATCAAACCACAGGTGAGTTTAAACCCACGTAATCGTGGGAGCGCGGCTGGCACTTAGTTACTGCTCGCGCGACATCGTACAGTGGACATGGCTCTCAAATAACACAGGAATGTCTGCAAATGGGTAACATTTTTAACATTCACTAGGGGCAGAGAATAAGTTGATAGAGTATTCAAGAGTCAAAGTTTAACACAAAAACGATTATGAAGGATATATTTCAAGTCGTAGCTTCTGTATTTCTGTCTCTTCGCACGTAAGATAGCGCGGCGCATCTGGCGGGAAGACTTCGCAGACATAAGATCGGAACGTAAGGGATGGGCAACGTCATCTAGAAGTCGAACAGCAAATTGCTCGACCGCATTTAAGTGTTTTTGAAAAATAGTGTCAACTAAAAAAAGATAAGAAATACCAGCAGCAGAAGAGAGCATACGGAGGACTCATTTCAAAATTAAAAGACCCTTATTTAGCAAGGCAAGAAAAAAGACAGGAGAGCAGTATAGGATAAGAGAAAGAATGCAGGCATCAGTGAATCGGGAGACTAAGGGTTGAGGTGTGTGGTAGGAACGTAAACGACGTATGTAGTAAAGACGTTTAAGAACTTTAATTAATAGGGACTCAATATGGAGTGAAAATGAAAGATTTAAGGACAAAGTAATGCCGAGGTACCTGAAAGAGTATACTTCGTTAGGACGAATGTCAGAGGAATCAGGGTAAGGAAAGGGGCCGCAGTCGAAAAATACACTGAACGGATTTTGATTGTTAATTAGGAGACCATTTTCCTCCGAACACGCTAGACCATGGTTTGGCGTTGTATGCAAATTGTAAAGGGTCGGAAACCTGGAGGAAAAAGGATTTATGATATCTTGGGCAACTTTGTCTGCAAGCTTTAGTATTGCAGAGGAGCAGGCAATTGGACGAAAAGATTTAGGACCAAAGTTAGCGGGCTTTTTAGGGATGGAAGTGATTCTCACTGTACGCCAGGCGTCGGGAATCTTGGATTCCATGAAAGACATATGGATTAGGTGCGTCAAAATGGGCGCTATCTGATAACTGCAAGATTTAAGAAGAAAAGGCGAGACACCATCCGGTCCGGCAGCTGTTCATCCACGGACTTTTTTAAGGTGTTTCTCTACTGTTGCCAAAGGCAGGGGTTGTAATGTACTCGGTGATAGGGGAATGTCATCTCAGGGAAGATAGGTGTCATTTTGACTAAATATAAAATTTTTATTTAGGGAGTCTAAATCTGCATCCACATGCACCAGCGTGTTGCAATGGCCAATGAGACGCTTAAGATTTTTCCAAATCTCAGCAGAGGAAGGGGGTTAGGGGGGGGAGGAAGAAGAGGAAGAACGTTGACTGACAAACAGGCTATTTAGTCTGTCAATCTTTGTTTTTTTTAAGAAGGTAACGTCCTTAAGGCTATCGCGTAAGCCTAGCTTGTATAGGAGTTCTTTTTTTCGTCTTAACGATTTCAGACAGGGGGAAGAAATGCTAGCCGGTCGTAACAACACAGTATCAGGAGGGCAGCAAATATCGAAAATTTTATTTAAAACGCTGTCAGGTTGGAAGAACAGGATTCGACATTCGATTGTTCAAGGAAAGTGGTGATAGTAAGAGAAATGCAAGTCTGAAGCAGGATAATGTTTTGGGCGGACGTGTTGCGAACCTTAACCTTTCTCTCAGGCTTGGCAAGCAGTGCACATTTTGAAATGGAATAGATTTTTTGAAGACACAATAAAGTGGAATGGTCAGGACCTGACAATTTAGCCCTATTTCCTAGGCAAAAAGCTTGCTGTGGTTAGTCAGAATATGATCAAGAGGGGTATCTGCGCGAGTATTAAAGGAGACAATATCATCGAAGCCTAAAAGTGTTAGGGCACGTAAGGGGACGTAAACTCCCGCGATTAACATCACCGCATAAGAGAATAAGATAGTCGCCTGATAGCAAGGCAAGATTTTATGAGAGAAAGTCGAAAACCGGGTTAATGCGCCTTCACGGGAAGAGGGAGGAATATAAGTACTAACAAATATGTAGCCTTTTAAATTACTTAACAAACGGGGATTTTATGAAACATCGATGACATCTATCAAATCGTTAGATAAACGAAAATGTCAACGCTTCCTCCTCTGCCACAAGCTAAAGATTTTCTATCTGCTCGAAAGCCGTAGTAGGATGGGGGAATAATAAGCTGCGAATTAATGTCACTATTTAGCCACGTCTCTTGACGGCAGACCACTTCAGTTCTGCTGTGTTTTTTTTCGACAAAAGTAGATCCAAATCATGGGCTTTGTTGAAAATAGGACGAAAGTTTGTCGACAAGGCAGGAATTGACAATTAGTGATTTGGCTGACGTATTTCCGACTAATATTTGAAGAATTCAGCAAAGAACGATCGCAAATACGACATATTGGCCGTAAAGTACAACAGGTCGCATCATTGTCAATCGTAAGTGAAAATGACAATTTAATTCCATTCAAAAGGGTGCTAGTGTACTGTAGAGACGACCTCCTGCTCTAGGCTTAGCCAAACAAAGGGTGCAAAACAGTTCAATATGTCGAAGACAAATAGGCACAGTCAGGTACAATTAGTAAAAATTCACACGTGAATGGAGGGCTACAAAAATGGCGGCTCAAATTCAAAAGCCCGCACTTTTCAAAGCTCTTAAAAGGCGTAGATATCTCATGTGGAATCTTGCGAATTGATTTGCCGTTGCTTGAGCTTTTTGGCTAAGTAATAACTCAGTGTACCCCAGCGTTGTCTTAAAAGCTTATATATTGACAGCCTCTATATTCATGTATTCGGCGGCGTTGGATGGATTTGAAGGGCTATATCCAGCCTCTTAGCCAGAAACCTACACACTGTGTGGGCAAACCACCTGTCAAAGCAATTAAATTAGACTCGAAATGACTTAGTATGAAACCCATTTAAGTTGACCCCTTACAAACACGTAATTTCAGTCCACATCTGCAAGGTACTCCCTTTACTTATTAGGCACGTAATGACGTTGTGCTCACACGGTTCATGTAAGAAGTGAATACTAGTTATCCTCACCTACGATGGCACACTTTAATATGACTGCTCAAAGGCAAAAGCTCACACCGAAATGCGAAATATCCTCCCTGCAGCGACACGCATTTGGCATTTTGGTCGGATGGACCATTTGACTGGGCCTCGCTCAGTGCATTTCAGCCATGTATGGAGATTGTCATACCTCATAGAACGAGCGTGTGGAAGATAGTACGTTCATGAAAAGTAATCAGTTAAGTAGCATTATAAGCCGCAGTACGTTCGTGAAAAGTAATCAGTTATGTAACGATTCTCCTGGCGGAGGTTGTAATGCAGAAGTAAGGCACAATGCCTCTTCTCACAATATTTTCCTATCTTCGGATACGCATTGTAGATAACCTGTTTGTTAACTTTAAGAAAACAAATTTAATCTGCTCCATATCACCAAATTGTTTTTCGAATGGTGGTTGTAAGTAAAACCCCCATATTTTCATGTCATTGGGCGTGGAAAACTGATGAGTTAATTAGAACAGCGGTTCATCGCAAATAGGAATATTATGAGGTCGTCTATAATTTTAGGAACAAGCACCCCGCCTACAACCGTCTGAATTGAGACAAAACTTTCTGGTCATAGAAAACAACTTGTTGAGCAGAAACGAAATAGCTCTATAAAATATCGTCCTAAAGTAGGTACCCGCATGATTGTATACATCAACGTTTGAGACACCAGAAATTCAAACGAGGGGGTGGTTCTAATGCGAAAGCCGCGACCACCCCCCCTCGGAGCTTTCACATATTCAGCACCGTGCCACCGCCAAAGAAATTGTTATGCTTCGGCGAGTTACAGATAGGCCTGCGTCCTCTCGTAGCCAATGACAAATTTCCGAGTAAACGACCTCGCGACCATCCCGCTCAGAACAAGCGAATAATCCCCCTAGCACGACAGATTTCGCATTTTCAGCTGAATACTACGCTTATTCTGCCACCCCGCCCCGCAATACCGCCTTGCATTGTTCTTTTGCTAGAGTCGCGGAAATTTTGTAGAGCCTCAAATGACACCCGCCTGTTAATAGGTCCAGTATATTGGACTTCACCGCCTGAACTGCAGGAAAGTATTACTTGCCCCTAGAAAGCCATGAATAATTCGTCGAACCATTTGTCATGAAATTCCTCATTAACACGTTTGTCATTTGCAAAATGGCCGAAGCCTGGAAGGCATGCTTTTTGTTGAATAAGATTGTGTTTAACTAAGTGTTAAATGTGGATGGTGAATGCTTACTTACCATCTGGAGAGCCAAATCACTTTTACTGGACTGTTTTCGGACATCGGGTGGTGGGATCAACAGGTTTTACCGTGAATGTCGCCTTTGTTCCTTGCAGCTGACCGGTAGCGACCACGTATCTTTTGGCTGAAGAAGGAGCATTTCAGTTGCAAATTAGACAGGGAAGTAACCGAAAGTTTCTCAAGGATTTGTTGGTTTCCCAGTTATTACTTCTAAAAATCATTCACTCTTTAGAGCGGACGTAGTGCGCCATAGATGACTGTGCCCGGAACGTGCATATTTGCGAAGCAAACCTTTATGAGATGAATATGAGCAAAACTCGTATGTTTGCAGAGTGGAAGCATAGACAAAGGCATGAACGATTCGCATCGCCACTTATACATGTTTTTGACTTTGTCAGACAGACTGTCTTATAAGTTCGGCGATCCAACTGCCTATGTTGAAGGAAGAGTGGCCTCAGACCCGAAGTTACGAACACGTTCCATGACCTGACCTTCTAATCCTTGTCAGATATAGACAGCATGTGACCTATCTCATGAAATATGATGACGAGAACTGTTGCAATAATTTTCTTAACCTTGCATATTTTGCTTGCCCATCCAGCCCCATTTAAGGCAGTGTTCGCTTCTTGCGTGGAAACTGTATCCACGTAAATCTTTCAAGGAAAATATTTATAAATTTGGGCGAAAACTGACGTCACAATGCACTTGGCAATCTCCTATGTTAATACCGGTTGTGGACTTCCATTGCGCACCTGAAAAATGTTTCTTTGAGGAAGAGTAATTTGTACTCGATAGTTAAAATTGAAAGAGATTGCAGTGCTTAAGATTTCATTTTTTTCTTTAATGCTAATCGTAGGAATCTACTTTCAAATCTAACGGCTACTTTTGGAGAGGCGGATGTTTAATCGAATTTTAGAAGTTACGTTAGCAGATCTGTGCGATTTGGTGCGTTGAAGTTCAGTAATAACGCAAACAAATGATCACTCGTTTAAACGGACTTAATTTGTCTTTTAGTCCGTTTGGAAAATTCTAATTGATACCGCAGGAATGGCCATCGCCGAATAGTCATTTTCAGTTTCGGACACGTAAAGCATTACTTTTTGTGCAGTCGTGCTTCTCCAAACACATAATTCAGAAACATCACGAATGACTTTCTACAAGTTCTAGCAAAATAACAGTTTTTATAGAACCACTATGCCGTGCATTCAGAATCATAGAACGGAGTCTAAATTTATGCAAAACTTTATAAATTTATAAGCTTGATGTGGCACGTCTACAATTGCATCTGTCAATTGTATTTAACATTAATTGGCACCGATCGGATAGACAGAATGTGGCCTTATATGACGCTTGGTTTCGTGATTTTAGGGCAAATCTTGTTGCTCTTATTGAACCACAGCTTGAGCAATTAAAATGCGTAGAGTACTACGCAAATTCTCGGAAAACTGTTTTCTAATCCATACTCAGAATGACGGCTATTGGCAAACCGCCATACACTAATTCTTAAAGGACATTCAACTGTAAATCCCACTAATACATTAATCAAAACTGTCCTTTTGTTTGGTTTTTCATATTTACTCACAATGTTGCATGAAAAGACATTCTGTACATCCATAAACAAAGATAACTAAATTCTAACCATTTTTGGCGTCTTCGGGTTTTTGCACCTTTCCAAATATTAGAATTTCTAAACAACGTGATATTGCTTTTTATCTTTCACTGACATCTTAAATTATTTTAAAGAGGTGCTTGAAAAACATAAATACTAAGTGCACACATTGGTGTCAGGTTGCGAATGTTTGGCAATTATTTTTAAACGTCGATTCCTTCCATGCGTAAGGTTAGGGTTTGTTTAGAATCGTCGAAAACATACGAGCCACATTCGTCAATGCAGATATATGACGTTTTATGAACGGCCATTTAACGGTATTAAAAAATCTCACAATTAGAAACTTTTTTAAAATAAAATTAGAAGAAGAAGACGTGATTTTCTACCGCAAAAGTAAACCAATGACTATTTTTATGTATATTTCCCCTGAAATATAATTGAATTTTCAAGGCCATCGAAAATCAATGCGAAAATTGCGTACTACATAAATAGTCATTTTTTTGCAGAGTATACATTTTGCATACAGCTGAAAATAAGTACCTTCGAAAGCCGACACTCTGAGGTGACTGGATTATTAGAGATTTTTGCTGCACCATGATTAGTTTTACAACACAACTTCAAGCATCAAGCTAATAAACTTGACATGCGATACGTAAAACCTTTTGGCATAGAGTTTTGACGGTAGTCATGTAGTGGCGTTAACGAAGTTTTTTTTAAAGTAGTCCAAATCTCCATGTCAATATGCAATGTGTCTACATCCGATGGCTGTATACACTTACCGGACAAGCAAAGACAAGCAGTAGCACCAAGAGTTTATTCTGCCGGAAATCTCTGACAAGTTCGCGTTTAGCAGCTCCTTCAATTTATGCAACCACTGCAACAGGGAGCCTCCAGAAGAGGAGACAAGCGACGTTGTCTCGTACTACCGTCGACTGTATTTCATTCCTTGCGCGCAACTGAACGAAGTCATTTAGACCCGCAGCTTATGCGAGCCATTTAATATTAAGCAGCAAGGTATGCCGCCTAATGCACACATATTACGGGTAAGAAAAAATAATTCCACATTCCACAGCACATATCAATACAAATCGCAGGAAAACCTCCTTTCCAATGGAGAATCGTAAATTGTGCCGAGCACAGTACTTGGAAGTTGCAATTAACAAAAATAGTCAAATCACATGCCTCTTATGTTCTAACACACCAGGATATTAACATTATAATCCACGTGGATAATTGTTTTGAAAATTGCAGAACGACCCAGATTTGCTAGCATCATGCTATATGTCAGTAAGAGAAGTGGCCATGAAGGACCCGGAACCTCATTCGCAAACCATTATGGTTGACGATTGCAACGGCCATCGTGCCTCTTTTTGTTTTAGGACGATTGATTGGTCTGGGGCTGTTTCGTACGTATTACGCTTTTATCGCAGTCGAATGTTCATCTGCTTTTCATTTAGCTTCTTATTGGTAACCTCCGTGTATTAAGGATATTTTAGAAGCCGTCCAACTCCTTCTCATCTCACTTGAGTTTGGAGTTGTATTCAAATCGGAAGGAACCATCTGGTGTCAAATAGTGAGGCTAGGAAATCCACTGTCATGGCAAGATACGCCTGGAGTTGTTAAAACGACCTGGTATGATTACAGAAAAGAAAAGTGTGTCGGGAAAACGCGAAAAGGGTGGACATACGGCAGCAGTCCTATTAATTAGAGGAGATAGGGGAAGACAACTCAGATTCGACGAGGTTGTCGTTCTCACTAGAGGTGACAATCGCGTGGGTCGCGAGCTTCTTGGGGAACTAATTTGCCACGCGAGTCTCCGGCTTTCTGACCTGAGAAGCGCGTTCCCACGAAGTTGTGTCTGTCGACCACCTAAAGTGTCAGCACACACAAAAGGGTACACACATCTACGCCCTGTGACTTTAAACGTGTGCGCACATCGACAGAAAACACGCTGTAGTATCCTAACACAACCAGGCGCACTCCTTGCTGACTTAGATGGCGCGCATTTCGCAGTAAGAGAGCAGCGAAGTTTCTGAACAAAAGAAACCACTTCCATCTGGTGACTTTCATGCCTCCCTGTTAAACGACCTCGCCTCTCTCTAGGGTAGTGTGTATTCACATAAGCATTCGTGTCCGTGTTCCATTTAAGGTGGACATGAACAGGATTTAGGTATCTAAAATACCTTAGGGGCACATTTGTCAAACAAGGTAGAATACTCGAAGTCAAAAGCAGACACCATGTATTAGAAATTACATACTTCCAAGAACCACACTTTGACCCAAAACCACGACCAAAATTGCATGCACCACCTGAGGGCTCTTCTACTTCAACCTGAAGGCATTGACATAGTCGATGAACGTCAGCATTGGCACCGTCGCCTCGGCTTTATTGGAGGGAGTAATTGTAATCTGGTCCTCTCTGCCGGTCGTAAACTTAATTTTCAGTAGTCGAGGCTTCGTCTCCAAATGCCCAGTAAAGAGTACAACTGGAATGGTGCGCACTGCTGAACGGAAAATAGATACGGTTAAGATATCCTGTAAAAACTAGCACAATGATGTAAACTAACACCTACCTGTGTTCCCAAACGGAGATATCATACGGAAATCTTGTTTCTCTGGCGACATATTTTCCAAGAAGCTTACATTCTGAAAAGTAATCAACAGAGTGGTTTTGCAAAATCGCCTTTTCCATATATACAATGTTCTTTTGCTAAGACGGAGGCATGTAGACTAAATGTGGATTACATCAGCTAAGCACTAAGCGACATTTGCAGACGTCATTATTTGAGAACGCCGCTGCTTGCACGTATGGTCCATGTTAATTTATGTGGGGCAAATGTGCTACCGACTCGTCGACAAATTAATGTCGAATTTAAGTAAACTGATGCCCTTTTCATTGTTTAATCTAGACCGATGTCTGAACTATGAGGCTGTTATCCTGAGCGATAAAATAATGAAACGCAGAATGGCAATTACCACTCGTGTCTTATTCAACACATTTGACAACTTTATGCGGGATCTGCTAAAAATGCAAGCAACTGCCAATATATTTCACATCCAAACATTATGTCTAAGTATTAATGACAATCGAAAGCATCCTTCTTGCAATGCATGTATGCTGATATGTTTTCAATATTATAATATTTACCCGAATGCCCCCACTGAAGAGCAGAATGTGAACATTTTTTTCTTTTTCGAGGACTTCTTTTGTAAAGACGGAAACGGATTCAGTACTGGACACCACATCTAGAAGAGAAGATACAACATGTAGTTTAGTTAAGCAATAAGTCAGAAAGCCCATCAAATCTCAGAAAGGACACTACTTTTATCCGAAGACAAGAAATATGATTTCTTGGTATGTGATTTAAACTGAAATTGCAATATGCACGCTGCTCGTCGAAGCGGGTTTTCCGTCAACTGGGCAGCCTGCATAGTTTTAGAACTCAAATGAATGCACGGACTACATAGCCACTGGAAAAAGGAAAGTGAATTGCGTATTATCAGGCAGCGTAAGAAGAATAATTGTCTTGACTTACTAGGTTGCGTGCCCTTTTTATAATACTGAATTACAACTCTGCTTCTTTTGGGGAAATCCTTTGGCTCAACCGTGAATGCAACATGCGTTCCCTTCAGGTAGTCGTTGGCAATTACGTATTCATCGGCTTGCAAAGAAAAAAAAATGATTGCAATTTATGAAGGTGGATATTAGGGGAACTTATTTATATCGAATTTCTGCATACACATTTATGATGAATGGGTGTTCACTGATCACATTACTGTGTCTACTGTCGCGCTGAGATTAGTGTTTTATGCGGAGAGTGAATACTCATGAATTCTGACTTAGTGGACTTCGCCTGTCAGCCTTGACCAATCCCAGATTTGGAGGCACTTGAAATCCGAACACAAGCTCTTTTGAGTACAGCTCCAATGGTCTAACCCGGACTCAAAAAATTACATCCCATGATATATACTCTGTTGCCGCATGAAGCCTTTGATAAAAGCGCTCTACTTCATAGTTTCAAAAATGGCTCTGCAGGTCATCGTCGGAAGTAGATCAAAGAAGCAACTTGGTCCATATTTTAAACAGGCTCTCATAGTTATTTGATATATAAAGGATCCTCGAGCACAATTATTCCGATTAATTTGCGTTACTTTGTAATTCCAGCGAGGTTTTGGAGCATATTCAAATCAATCACATTTACTTGACGGCGAAATCCAAATTCCCCGACACGAATTTCTTCGAAAATTTACAGAATCACAATTTTTGATAACCGGATAATAAGGAAGCTTATTGGTGGGATTGACTTATGTAGCCACGTAAGCAGAACGTGAGAATAGATGCACCCCGGCGAAGTAATAAATGCAGGACTGCGCGTTATTTCGCAAAAGACCAAATATTCCGTTGTCCTCAATCTAACGATAAACTAAACAGCACTAACTCCAGCCTAAACCAAAAATCCATACTTAAGACCAGCAACTGTCTTAGCTCTAGTCCTTATCAAGACTTACTTTTCTGTTAACTCTACATTTGCACTTAAACATTATCCCTAACACAACCCCAACTCAATAATTTAGTCTAACGCTAAGTTTATTGGACGTTGGCCTACAGCCACCCGTATTGCGGGCGTTTCCTTCGCCCATGTCATGTTCAGGGCGAGGTGGCATATAAGTCAGTGCTGCTGGTCCGTTTAAGTGAAGGTTTGACTCTGTAAAATGCGTCCTTCGGTCTGTCAGGCATGCTGTTTCGTCTATTCAAATGGGGCAAGCGGACGCATTTTATGACATGCTTAATTGAATAGCACGGAAACCACAGCTTACGTTGAACAATTTGCCAACAGTCATTGGGTGCAACACAGTTTGAACCATTTTCCGGCCTCGAAATATTCACGTCATCGACGGTCACATACTGCAAAGGAAGACGGTTAATTCAAACATAACAGTTTTTCATGAAATCGTCCAGTTAACGCTTATTACCTCAACGTCCCCATAGAGCATTTTTGTGTAGACGTAGTCGCTGTCCTGTTTGAATTCCAGTTTGGTTTTTATCACTAAGATAGGAAATTCATGGATAAGCCGACATAAATGAGGAATTTGCAATTCCGTTCCACATAAACAAACACTACAATCATCATATATATTTAAATTTTAAAATATAATTGCAAGTCGTTATATGGCCATGCTACATGGCTTAAAATATTTTTACATTTTCCAAACACGCCCTGGACAATGATCAGGAGTAATAGTTGGCGAAACATTTGCAAGCGACCACGCTTGCACGAAGTTCTGCTCTTCTACTTTTATAAACCCCAACAGCCAATAATCGCGCACAAATGAAACCCGAGTAGTCCGCCCTGCATTCAGTAAAACAAGCTCTGATTTGGAAGAGCAATTAGTGCCTTGATTCACACTAGAACCACGTTGTCAATTTGGGATATTACGGAGGTGGCTAAGAGCCAAATCTGTCTACGCCGCGCAATTAGTACTCGACATGTTTTACTGAAAGGTAATTTTGCTCGCACGAAAATGCATGTTTCACGTCTACCAATAATAGCGGAATAGAAACACGAGAACGACAGATTCATGGACCGAATGAATTTGAGACAATTTATATTTTCTAATAAAAGGCATCCCTGATGTTGCTAAAAATTTGCTGATTGCAGAGGAACGAAAACTGTTGGGCTTATTGACATTGAGTATATGTGTACACATTTTGGAATAATGTGATGAAAAGACTTTAAAAATTGCATCGGAGCTTGTCACTAGCTGCATTCCCGTTGTGCTGAAGAGATCAGTCTAGCGTTGTGCAGTCTGCATTGCTCTACACTAGTTGCAGTCCAAACTATGACTGCAAAACCTTTACATCGGGTCGTGTATAAAGAAGTCTCAGCCACCACACCCAGGCTCAATTCCAGTCGCATTCTCGCCGCGCGAGTAGATGCCTGCTTTACTATCGTGAACTTCAAGCGCGAGTTGTAGTTGCATTCTACCCATCACATGTCTACACCTAAGCGCTCGTGATGGCCAAGCAATCGCCCTCGGGCGTCTATTATTCATGAAAACTTATTTAGCAGATCAGGTAAGAGTAAAAGGCCCTATCCTGATGCATGCATGTTTGGTCTCTTAGGTTAATTAAGTAGCCTCGCAAATATGCTTTTGTTGATGAGACGGGTGTGTGTTTTGCGCTCGACACCTAGCGCATGCAGTCTACATAACGCATTCACCAAAAATCGCGCTCCTTCAAGAGTACCTTGAACTTTGTATTCTCTATTAGTGATTGTAGGCTCAACATAGCAGATAGTAAAGTCTTACCTCCGCAGTTTTTTTAGACTAAAGTGGACGCTGCCTCCTCGCTATTGAACGCATTCTTTAATTGTAGTATTTGTGAAGGCAACCCATCTCAAACGAGACCCATGTGTTCCAATATTTTCACATGTATTCAACATCTTCGCATAAACTGCTAGGCATAGAGCCACCTGCAAACTTGTCGCCTGATGAGAACGGAAGCGTTGCGAACGTGCTGTTATACCAATTTAATCTAATGTGCCACAGTCTTCCTAGCATGCCTCTAAAAAATAATGGACAGTATTACAAATGAGGATGAACATGAGATGGTTATCTGTTTTCCACTAAGCTAAGGTTTTGTTGTCTGTCTGATACATACTCAAAGCCATAGACTGCAGACCCATTGTATGAAAAAATCATTTGATGTACAAATTAAACTCTTGCTATGAAAGTCTCAGTTATTTACAAAGAAACTGCATAAAGTCCTTTTAACTCTGGACGTCTAAATCAAATGAACGCAGGACGTGTTTGTCGTACTGGAATTCACTTGCAGAATCATGCACTATATGGAACCTGCTTAACACAATGGGTAAACAGACCATAAAACATAAGCAATTAAACTATCATGGAGCGAAATGGAAGACGGAAGTGACAGAATGTGGAATAAGTCATATCGGTTGATTCTGGAATAATCCGTGTTGTGTGCAACCACCGAAGAATGCAGACGCTGCAACATTTCTGGAGATAGAGGAGATGGTTAATGAATTTGAGGCGACTTAACATCTAGGTATATCGTAATGTGTAATGAGATCAAAAGACGACGGCCACAGGAAGAACAAATCAAAGTCTGGAGGGCTATTTCTTACGTTAATGGAGTACACGAGGCGGTTTCACGACTGTCACAACCCGTCAGGCTAGGCATTGCACATCGACACCAGGCAACCATTCGTCGCCGGTTGATGCAACCCAAAGATCTACTACCACCAACTGAAACCTCAGCAGTTGTCTAGCAAATAGTTTGTAACGATGGAGACTGCAACTACGTCGGGAAACCCGGACGGAAATTGCAGACTCGCCTACATGAGCACAAATTGGCAACTCGGAGACTAGACGCAAACTGACAGCATGCGGCTCACATCGGGCAAACTGGTGACAGTTTTGATTTTCATGGAGCAGCCGCTTTAGGGAGGGGCGCCTCAAGGACAGAGCGTCTCACACTTGAGTCTTGGTACTCTGATGTCAACTCCATCAACAGGCATCTAGACCGTCCTTCGGCCTTTTAAGGCTTGCGTCATCACACAAACCGTGACAAAGACACGACAGTCATACGGAGCATAAGACTACCGAGCAAACACAGCCTGTCGACCAACTCACCCAAACGAAGGGCCCAAACGCAAATAACTCCAATTGAGGTGACGACACACAGTACATGAGGCCACCAACACTCACAGGCGACGGCCGGTAGGCGAAGGCATCGAAAGAAGAGAGAAAAAAATTGATCGGCCCAGAGCAAACTCATCCGGCTGTCCATTCAAAATCCAGATCGATTTTTCACAGGACACTTTGATAATGGAGAGCCGCCCACATCTTCGAAACGTCAGCCATGCAAGTCCCTCGATCCGGTGAGCAATTCATTCTCCTCAGATTATCAACCCGGATCTCTTACTTACGCTCACCTGAGTTGTACGTATTGCGTGTCAGTCGACGTCTGTTGGGTTACATAGACTTGAAGAATGAAAGCCCTGACTAATGTAGGACCAAGCGCCTCGTTTTTGGGCATTCGCCTGTCCAGACAGCTGTTTGTTTCTGATTCCAATGCTCAGCGAGACAGTCAAGATTACTGTGTCAGCCAGTACTTCATATGAGAGAGGCAGCGGCCATACGGTAAGCCGCCAAACCTTGGACTCGCACAAAGCGCTTAAACGGCCCTAACGCTCCACGGGCTAAGGGTGAACCCGGCAGTTGTGCTCAAACCTACTGCCACAACGCGTTACAGCGACGAAACGGCGATATAGCTAAACTCCAAACAACTAACCCATCCCACCCTCTTCTCTCCCCTCCTGAAGGCTTCAGACATAACTGAATTATAATTTATGCCCTCTGAACGCCCTCATGTCTCTCCACCGCACATAAAGAATGAATATGAATTTGCGTGTTTTCCATGAAATAGAATTGAATGTCTAAGAGCATCGAAAGTCAATGGGCCAAATGGATGCTAATTATGTAGACCTTTTGCTCAGAGTATGGCTTTGTATGCGGCCGGAAAAAAAGCTAATTCGACAGCCGGAATACTGAGGTAACTGAATTGCTATATAACTTGCTGGAGGCTACCTAGTTTTACAAGCCTGCTTAATTAATCTTTTCAAAAAGAAAAGGCATTTCGGATTTTCTTTTGACATTTCATGAGTGAGCCCACCTACAACATATCCCACAACTCTTTCCTAACCCATCGATTCTGAAGATAGTAAACACATGTTGTCAATTCTAAATTAAGTGTAATATCATTTTCGTAGGCTTTGCAGATTCCCACCAATCCTGTTGAACAGAAACTGTAAACAGATCCGGCAAAACTCGGTTAATCACCGTGTTTTCTCAAATCCATTTAACTTTTATAGGTTTATTCGAAAACAGTTCGAATAAAAGCCATTTGCAAAAATCATATTAGAGCCCCTGCCCGCTTGTGCAGTAAAGATGGTCATTTCATCCAAAAATCGTTGCTAGCCCATTTCAGTCGAGACCTAAAAACAATCGAGATCCATCTGTTGATGAGGTCGTTGCAGTCACCTCATTACTGTCCTATAAACACAGGCTACTTTATCATCCTCACAGTAGGTTTTATCTGTAAGAAGCCTTTGTTACATGCACTTGTGCGTCGCAAGGCGTAATAGAATGCCAAGTACCAGCAATGCGCGGCATTCAATATCTTCTGGCGACCGCGTGGGTCTGTTTAGGTAGGATATCGGTGCCGAGAGTGGACTGATATTCACCCCCCCCCCCTTCACCCGATTTATGGATAAGACGCGGGAATAGGAGCCATTGTCGTCCCATGTGCTAAACCCTGTCACAACACCAATCCCAACCCAAACCCTAAAACTACATTAACGCTAAAACCTTACCCTAACTATTTTCTACATACCTTTATCCCTCTAGAGAGTATTTAAAGGGGTCAGCGTCACATGTGATGAAACCATGATACCATTTGATGTAATCTCGCTCTCAACCTCGATTATGATAGATCTAACGGTGGGACCGCACAGAATAACTCCTTTAGACCTCCCTTCTCCAGGCAATGTATTGATGATTAAACGATTCTCCTGGCGGAGGTTGTAATGCAGAAGTAAGGCACAAAGCCTCTTCTCACAATTTTTTCCTATCTTCGGATACGCATTGTAGATAACCTGTTTGTTAACGTTAAAAAAACAAATTTAATCTGCTCCATATCACCAAATTGTTTTTCGAATGTTGGTTGTAAGAAAACCCCCATATCTTCATGTCATTGCGCGTGGAAAACTGATGAGTTAATTAGAACAACGGTTCATCGCAAAGAGGAATATTTTGAGGTCGTCTAAAATTTTAGGAACAACCACCCCGCCGACAACCGTCTGAATTGAGCCAAAACTTACTGGTCATAGAAAACAAATTGTTGAGCAGAAATGAAATACCTCTACGAAATATCCTCCTAAAGTAGGTACCCGCATGATTGTATACATCAACGTTTGAGACACCAGAAATTCAAACGAGGGAATGGTTCTTATGCGAAAGCCGCGACCACACCCGCCCCTCTAAGCTTTCCGATTTTCAGCACCGTGCTACTGCCAAAGAAGTCATTTTGCTTCGCCGAGACACAGATACGCCTGCCGACCTCTCGTAGCCAATGACAAATTTCCGAGTAAACGACCTCGCGACTATCCCCCTCCGAACAAGCGAATAATCCCCCTAGCACGACAGATTTCGCATTTTCGGCAGAATACTA